GAAGAAATGAATAGTAGGCATAGAAAATATCTTTCTATTTTAAGGTTCTAAAATACCTGTAAAATATGTATAGGCAATTACTGAAAGTAGTGACATATATGCTAAGTTTTAAACATATACACATATGTCAGCCATGGATAAAAATCTAAAGATAAGACAGAAATTTCAAGTATTTTTTCATACATTTCCAAACCTACATTTAATGAGTAAGAAGTAAATAAAAGCAATATCCAAGCTACAGAATATTCCAGAATAAAGAAAGACTTAAAGAAAACCATTACAAGCTTCCATATCTTTACTCCATAACTTGAGAATTTCTATCTCAAGTGACCTTAAAAGTACCTTTGAATTTCTGAATGTTACCTGTATATCTTATCTACAAGATGTAAAGATGTCTGCTGCATTTAATACTTGGCAACTTGGCACTTCTACTTATACAGGATTTCATTTCTCTTCACAAAAACAGTATCTAGAGAAAAATTTAAACATTGAAAAGGGCCCAAACTATACAAATTCATCCTCAAGTTTCGTGGAGACATTGGAGGTGGAAAATGTACTCTGGTGAAGGGACAGGTATGACTGTAACCCAATAATGAACAACTTTGTAACGATGCATCTCACAGTGATTATATAAGTATACTCATCCTGAGACATATCCACAGATACCAATGTTGACAATCCCTCTCCTCGCTTAGAATAAGAAACTGTGGGGGGGCAGTGGGGTGTAAAGGATGATTTGTATGCAACGTGAACATGATGAACAGTCTGATGCAATATGTTCAATACAGTGATGTCCTGAATCAGAATTCCTTAGGACACAATGTGTCAGAGCTAGAGCTGAGTCTTAAATGAGTCCAACTGTGGTCAACTGTAAACTCCTCTGGGTAGATGTTGCTGATGCCGATGGTTTTCCATACTGCTAACTTTCTATTTGCTCTGAAATAGAGTCAGTAAGCCAGAAATGAGTTTATTAATGATTTCAGAGAGCGGGTGCTTAGTTCATCAGCAAACCAAGAACAAATTGGTTATCTTGCAATATTCATCTTGTTGACTAAACCTATCAGCAATGAGAAGAAAATAAATAATCTAGGCTAAGAGAGAAATGATACTAGCCAATAGCCTTTTTTATTTTTATTGTTTTTAGTTCTCTTAAAAAAAGTTACTGGCCTTCATGATTCCTTGTGTGTTCTCATATCAGTCAGAACACAAAACTAAGCTGTTACAAGGACTTTGAAGTCCTGCAAAAAAGAAACATTATATTCAATAACATATTAGGACAAAAAAAATTGGATGTGGAATTTAAAGTCAGCACTTCAATTTTAAGACAGAACTTTAATGGTATAACATGCTTTTAATGACTTAAACGTTAAAAGGTTAACGATGTAATAAACATTTCTCAAGGGCAAGGGGAAAATTCAGGGGGAAATGATTCTATATATTCTTTAAATTTTTTCTCCAAAACAAAAAAAAAGTTATTGAATCAAATTTCAAAACAAACAGAAAATGTTTAACAGCTTTATCCAAATTATTAGCAATAAATAAATAAATAAATAAATAAATGTGGTTTTCAACTGGCATTTGAGAACTGGTGCTAGGTGGTATGTGTGAAAGGCAGAAAACAACTGAGTATTAAGACCCGCACAAAATACTCAAAATACTCAATACTCAAAATACTCTGAAGACCCCTGAGTAAACAGAAACATAGTCCTCATGAACTCCAGAGTTGAGACCCACAGCTGAGGGACCTGCCCTCAATTTAGTAGTCACTAAATTCCCTAAAAATGGCTAGTCCCATTCAACCATTTCCAACCAAAGTTCCTTTGAAAATACTTTCACAGGGCTCACCCACTGCTAGGAGGCAGGAAATGCTCATTTGTGTGGATTGAACAGAAGCACAATAGAACATCTCAGCATATATTTTGATATCCTGACAATGTAAATATAACCGACTTCATACCCAGGCTTCACTTCCGCCCAGACCATTCTAAAATTTGGTTTTTGAAAACATGAGTTCTAGAGCATAATGCGTCAAATATCTGTGCATCCTTCATTAGAACTACTTCCCATCTGAAATTATTTTTGAACATCCACCCTGAATGTTTTGAATTAAAAACACTTCATTTGGAAACCAGACCACAGTTTTGAGCAGTGAAGTTAGAAATACGTGTTACTCTGAAAACAAAATGTCTAGAAATTTCTAAGGCTTGAAGGTATGACCCTACATTTTCAAAGTACACATTCTCCGTGGGGTGTTCACTGGCTTTTGGGACCCACCTAAAACTTGTTCCTCTGATCCTGTGGGGTCAACTTCTGCCATTTTAATTCAGTCTTCAGAAAACTGGAATATTCCATTTAAGGAAAGTCTTCTCTAACAAATGCTATTCTCCCAAACAGCCAAGGTTCACTTAGCTCAGTATTTCGACTTAATGTTTCAAGAAAGCCAAACTCTTGCAATGGCAAACTGACATCTCAAGCAGAAAGGGAAGACAAAGGCAATTAATTAATGGTTCCGGGGACGGGTTTAGAGTTTTCCCGGGGGTCTGTGTTTTACAAAGGCAGAGCTCTCAACTGAGGCGGGTGCTGGCAGGGGAAGCCTTCTTGAAAAGTCACTGTACAACCTTGGGTGGGGGTGGGGATGGAGGGGTACAAGGGATCTAAAAGGACTTTCCAAAGACCTTTCCTGCCCCTCAGCGTCGGTCGGTGCCAACGCCTGCGCTTTCCTGGGATGCCAACCTAGAGCCAGGCTGCCTATGTGGCAAGAAATCCTGGAAAGCCGGTGCAGGCGGGAGCCGGCACCCTCGGGGTCTCTGGGCTCCCTCCCTGCCCCCCTGCACGTTGGCGCTGACTCGGTGGCCCTGAAACACACACACACACACACACACACACACACACACACACACACACACACACACACGGGGCGGGGTGGGGGGGCCGTTCCATCACCCGCGCCCTGAGGACGTGGCAGGGGGCTGGTAGGGGGACAACCAGGATGTCCAAGACCGCGCAGGGCAGCGAGTGGCCCGCAGGAACCCGGGGATGGGGGTAGGAGCGTGGGGGGTTCAAAGCGCCTAGAGGTCAAATTCCCAGAGCTGAGCGTGCTGGGCATCCCATCCGGGGCCCGCATCCCGCAGCCAGAGGCCACCAGGCTCCGGACACCCGCCCGGCTCCTCGCGTGGGCTGTCCCCGGCGTTCAGAGCCGCTTTCCTCCGTGCAAGAGCAGCTCCGAAAGCTGCATGCGTGTGCGTCTGCGTGTGCGTGGGCACGGGCCGTCTGCACCCACGGCTCAGCGGGCTGGGGTGGGGGCGTTTCTGTCCCCCCCCCCATCCAGATCCAAGTTGTAAGGGGGGACGCCTGCGTCCTCTGGGGGCTTCGGTCTGCATCTAAAGTGAAGCCGGCAGAGGCAGCGGCTTCCAAGGCAAGACAGCCTGTTCCCGACCCCCCTGCGCCACGCGCGCACTGACTCCCCACAAAGCTACCGGGGGTGCGGAGGTTAAGGGGTCTCCCTCCTCGAAGGAACACTGTCCTCCCAGGTTCCGTTCTTCCGTTTTCTCGGGGTGCATTTTCTACTTCTTTCTCCTTTTTATTTTGCATCGAATCACTGATAGTTACGAAGCTTTCATGGTTTGCGTTTCAGTCATACAATGATCCAACACCCATCCCGCCACCAGTGCCCATCCCCACCACCAATGTCCCCAGTATCCCCCCTCCCCTTTTTCCAACCCTCCCTCCCCCTGCCTCCAGGGCAGACAATTTCCCCCCTACTCCATCTCTCTACTTTGGGGCATTGTGGTTCGCAATCCAGATCCTGAGAGGCCATCCTGCTTGGACCTTGGGAAAGTTATCAGTGTCCCACCCCCTCGTCCCGGACCCCAGCCTCCCTCGGAGGGGGCGTCCACCGCCCTGATAACCTGGAACCTTCCAGGTGCCCCCTCGATCGCCCCTGGACCTCGGAGGAGCTTCGCGGTGATGTTAACTTGGTGAACAGCGAGGAGACTAAGCCCCAAAGACCCTGGGGGAGGTTCACCTTCGCCCCCCGATCCTGGTGCAGGGACAGCCAAGCCCGGCACGGGTCCTCCCTCGGCCGCCCACTCCCGGGAGCCCCTCTGCACGCGCCGTTTTTGCTCGGTCCCCTTGGTCCCCCAAGTCCGCGGGATGTCGCGGCTAGGGGGGACCCGTGAGCCGCCCCTCCAGCCCACAGCCCGGGCCCTTAGGACTGCCCACGCGTCCTTTCGCCTCTTCGTCTGGTCACTGGAGAAGTTGCGAACACTGGAGGGGACGGGGGGCAGGGAACTGCCGGGGACCGTGGGGGGTGGGGGGGTACGCGACTCCTCTCCCAAGTCCGGCGGAGCCTCTTTCTAGAAAGCAAACTCGGAAGCGGTCCCCATCAACTTTGCAGCGCGAGCACACACCTGCCTGCACGCGGCCGCGGGGACACCTGTCCGGGCGCATCCCGGGCCGGGTCGGCAAACGCCGGCCGGGGGGCGCGCGGCATCCCGCGGGCACCGGGTAGCATCAGGGTGGGCCGGGGGCTCGGCGAGGGAGCGGGACCCCCGAGAGATGATGCTACCACCACCCCCCACCCTCCAAATCCCCCCAGTGCGGCGCCTTGAGCGCGGGGGGCCCCCGATCGCGGGCGAGCTCCGGGGAGACCTTGGGGCGCGCTCGGTCTAGACCTCCCCGCCCTCGTCCCCACTCGGGGCGCCTGGGTCTGGGCGCGACCGGCTCCGTCTGTCCGTGCGTCCGTCTGGGTCCCCCCCACCCCCCACCGGAGGGGGATCCGGCCGGGTCTGCGGCATCCCCCCCCACCCCGCGCGCATCCATCCCCCAAGCAGGTGCCGGGCGCCCCCCGGCCCGAGCGAGCGAGCGAGCGAGCGATCGAGCGACATCCAGCAGCACCGCGGGCCGGCCGGGATGCGGGACGCCCTGGTGGGGAGGAGCCGGGGTGGGTGGGGGGCGCCCGGCTCGCCCCCTCCGCCGCCGCCCGGGGTCCCGCCACTCACCCCGAGCTTCCTGCTGCGGATCCGCACGTAGCCCTGCTTGACGATGTCGTTAAAGTTGGAGGCCATGGCCGGGCGCGGGGCCGCTCCCGCCGCCGCTCCCGCCGCCGCTCCAGCCGCCGGGGACGCGGGCAGGGACGGGCGCCGCGCGCGGGTCTCGGCGCTGCCCCGCGCCCCCCTCCGCGCGCCCGCGCCCCGCGCCGCGCCGGCCGGCCCCGAGCTCGGGGGAGGGGAGCGGGGGGCGGGCCGAGCGGGGCTCCCCGACGCGCGCTCCCCGCCCCCCGCCGCCGCCGCCGCCGCCCGCCCACCCGGGGGACGGCGCGGGGGGCTCCGGGCCCGGCACACGCTGCGCCCCCCGGCCGGCCCCTGCCCCGGGGGCAAGTGCGGGGCGACGCCGCGCCGCTCCCCGCCACACAAAGAGGCCGACGGTGCGCATGTGTCTGCGCCCCGCGCGCGTCGTCCCCCCCCCCGCGCCCCGAACCCCCACCCCCGGGCCCCCCGGAGGCCGCGGGCACCCGGGCCCCGGGCTCGGCTCCCGCTGCACCCAGGCAGATAGATGCCCCCCTCGAGACGCCGCCGCCGCGGCCTCCCCGCCGCCGCCCGGGCACCGGCGCAGGGCAGATGCAACGCCCGGCCCTTCCCGGTGGGGGAGCAAAAAAGAAAAAAAAAAATCGGGCACGGGAATGTTGCAACTCGGGGATACACGCGCGCACACACACACACGCGCGCACGCATGCACACACGCACACACACAAGACACACGCACGCAGGCACGCGCAACTTTGTCCGCGCCCCGTGTCCAGTGCGACGCCCGGCTTTGCCCGGTGGTGCCGGAGCAAAAACGGGCATGGAAGAAGTGTGCAACTCGGGGACACACGCACACACGCGCAGAGACACGCATGCACACACACGCACACTCAAGCACGCGCAACTTTGTCCGCGCCCCGTGTCCTATGCAACGCCCGGCTTTTCCCAGTGGTGGAGCAAAAACAGGCATGAAAGTGTGCAACTCCGGGGACACACACACACACACGCACGCACGCACACAAGCACGCACAACTTTGTCAGCCCCTGTCGGGAAGCCAGGCTTGCTGGAGAGTCGGCTGGTGCTCTGTGGGAAAGTGTCACTGAAAAAAAAAATTTCATCGTCCCCAGAAGATTCCAGGGAAGACGGATTGGTTGAATGTTGGCGACAGGCAATGTATGGATTTTTTGATCCAGGCCATCGTCTATACTATCTAGTAATTAAGGTTGTTTCTCATCACCGAATTTTGGGGGGGGGGGGGGGATGTGAAGGTTGAAATTGGCGATTCCTGGAGCAGGAGTCTGCAACAGAAGTTGAGCTGGTCTTGTTTACTTTCGCCTAAGGGAGGGCGCTGCTGCTTCCCCTGTTTATAGTTTAAGTGTCTTCAGAGTATGAAGAGAGAAGGGGAAAGGCTTGACTCAAGGGGGGAAAAGCTTGAAGGATAGAAAATTATATATATATATATATATATATATAAAATTATATATGTATAAAACACAAATAACTCACCCCTGACAATGGGAGCCTGAGGGGGATTTTTGTCCCATCATTAGCAAGAACCTCGAGCTCGAGTCCATTTAAGTGATGGAATCCGGCTCATTCGAGTCTGTAGGGAACATTTGTTTGGACTCTGAAGCATGCCAAGGAGCAGATGCTGCCGCAGACACTTCGAACCACATGGAAGAGCCCTTAGGCCTCCCTCTGGAACCGTGTCAAGAGCTGACCTTCCCAGAAAAACGGGCAAAACTCCCCATCAACTCCCCGTGGAGACCCTTCTCCAAACACGCACACCAGGATGTCTGCTTCACAGTATTATTATTTTTTTTATGCCATTTTGATCTACAGGTGTTTCAAATACATTATTTCATTGAGTCTTTTTTGCAAACTTCTGTATTACGTAAAGCACATTCTATTAAATAGTGGCAAAAACCGAGACTAACAATTCCTTAAACTGCAAAGCTCTAATTTCAAAACTGGTTGTGGGCCTAGAGTCATTTCCGTGGCGACTGGCTTCTACCATCTTACCAGTTATTTGTAAAATGCTGAAGCAAGGCAGGGGTTAAGTGTGCGTTGGCAACAATTTTAGCTCTTGCCTAAGGATCAGGTATGGTTGGCAGGTGGTTTGTAGTAACTGTAGAATGATTATGTCTTTGCCCTTACGTAGGCCTTCATTGCATGCTAATGTAATTTAAACCTTCTTCTAAATTTACCTTTGACTCTTAGACTTCTGGTAGAGCCAGTTGTGTGTGTTTCTTGTTAAATACAATTTGCCACTTGAAAATATTAGGTTCATGTTATTTAACTTTCCCTAACTTTGTATTTGTCTTATTGTATCAAGATGGTGCATTCAATGTGTTGACCTAAGCTCTAAACTTCCTGTTAACTTTCTGTTGAGTATCTTTCTTCTACTCTTCCTCCTCTTTTCTCCTCCTCTTTTTTCCTCCTCCTCCTTCCTCCTCCTCCTCCTCCTCCTCCTCCTCCTCCTCCTCCTTCTCCTTCTCCTCCTCCTCCTCCTCCTCCTCCTCCTCCTCCTCCTCCTCCTCCTCCTCCTCCTCCTCCTTCTCCATCTCCTCCTCCATCTTCTCCTTTCCCCCTTGTTCTTTCAAATGAAGTACAGTATGTAAACGAAAACAAGATGCTTGAGTAGAGGTCCCATTGTTAGCCTGATACATTATAAAATTCTCCAGGATTTTCCACTTACTGGATTTTTGCAGTCACAGATGATTATTGCTTAGATACATCATTTAACTGGGGTCTGCAAAACTGTAATTTGGGGGTTTGATTTTGTTAACGGAATGTATTAATTTTTTACAAAATCTAAACCTTTCAAAACAAACACAATGTTCTTCCACGCTTAACTAAAATGTTCCTGTGAAATGCATTCCTCAAAAGAAAGACAGGGTACGAGTTTGATTCTTAACATGTTTTTGGTCAGTTTATTTCAGAAATATTGAAGAGGTACTAGCAAATAAAACAATGCCCTGGTCCCTTTTAGATAATTTCAAGAATGGAGCTGTGTATATCTGATATATGTCATCCTCAAGGTCATTATTCTTTGGGTGTTTGAATGTCCTGGTCTTTGACCAGAAGGCACAGCTCGAACTGACATTTTTATCAGCTACCCCTGGGCATAAATAGCCCATTTAGGATTAATCACAAGATATCCAAGTCTCATCTTGTGTGTCCAACTCCAGACTCACAATCATTATTTCTCTGAGGAACCTTTGTTAGTTTGCAGGGACAATGAAACTCATTTCTCATAATTGCATATTTGGGGTGGTTTGTGGGGAAGAGGGAGAGCTTGTGGTATTTTTTTGTGTGTGTGTGTTTGCTGCATGTCCCGAGTTTTTACAAAAAATAAAATTCTTTCATTCTAGAAATATATTTCTGAAGAGACAGTTCTCCATTTTATGAATCATTCCACTTTAAATTACTCTCACTGTGATGCGATGAAGAGAAGACATACATCATTTTTAAAGACACGAAACAATACATCTCCACAGAGCTGGAGGCAGCGCATCAAGCTCATAATACACAAAACAACGGCTAGTTATTGGTGTTTGTTTGGGTTCCTTTTTGGTGGTGGTGCTGGGTGGGAGGTGGGACCCTTCCCACTTATTCTTAGCCAACAAGGCCAATGGTTCCACACCAGGAGCCCAGGGAAGATTCGCCTGTAGTGTGGGGATTCTCTCTAGTGGTTCTGAGGCTTCCAGAACAAATAGTGCTGAAGATTGAACCAAAGTGCCCTATTTCCAGTGTTAAATTCCTCAACTCCTCCTGTGTTCCTTATTGTGGTAGACATCCCTGCTTTGGGGCGGGATCTGCATGTGACTCTTCCCCCTGGGTGTCAATGGGACTCTAGTAAGTACCAGTAAGCTGAAGAGCAGAAGTGACGATGTGTCTTTGCTCGATGACGTTCTGGAAGGATTTATTTCAGGGGTGATCTCTGCTGAGCATCTTGCTCAAGGGAAGCTGTTGTCACAACATGAAGGAGTTGCGTGGTGCGCACCACAAGGTTGACTTTGAGACTGTCCAACAGCAGAGTGAGTTCAGTCAGAAAGGGGCTTTCTCCATTCAAGGCTGGATATGTGTGACATGCTTCTGCTCCAGCTGGGAACGCTGCTGAGATCACGCGAGACTTTGTTGAGGTGCCTACATCCTCCGAAAGAACCAGATCTAGGAAGAGTCTCAGTAACAGTATCTGCTAAAGAGAGGATACTGACAGCTGGGATTTTCTGAATTTCATGCTTTATTTCACCCCAGGGAAATTGAGTGAATATATAGACCTAGCACATTGGATCTTCCCATTTAGGAATCTGACTTTGCTTTCTCTTTCTTAACTGTTGCTAAAATTTTGCAGTATCTTCAATAGTATTGTTTATTTAAGATTATTTCTTGGGTAAAATTTTACGTTTGCTGCCATGAATATTGTTTTCATAATTCAATTTTATAAACAATGATTACATTATAGTATGGGTCATTTTTTGCTCATTAATCACTTCTTATTCTTAGTAATAATTTGGTTTTTGTTTGTTGATCTTTTTTTTTTTTTTTTTTGCTTTTTGGGTCACACCCAGCAGGGCTCAGGGGTTACTCCTGGCTTCGCACTCAGGAATTACTTCTGGCAGTGCTTGGGGGACCATATGGGATGCCGGGGATTGAACCTGGGTCGGCTGCATGCAAGGCAAATGTTCTACCTGCTGTGCTATTGCTCCAGCCCGTTTGTTGATTTTTAACACAAATTTTGAACACGGCTTTATAAGAGGCTAATTTTTTTGTTGTTGTCATTGTTGTGGTGCTTTGTGGACCAGCCCCTGACATGTTGTGGGAATACTCTTGGTTCTGTTCTCAGGAATCATTCCTGGAGGTGCTCAGGGGACTATATGTGATGCCAGGGATCAAACCCAGGTTGGCTGTGTGCAAGGCAAGTGCCTTACCTGCTGTATTATCTCATTGGCCCTGAATATGTTTTACAAACTCAAAAACTACAAAGCCAAGAGCCCAGTTTCTAGAATTAATGGGTGTTAAAATCTAATGTTCAGTTACTTTAGTGCTAAGTCCATACTACACAGTGACATGTTTATAATATTGCTCACCTTTCGTATGGATCTGATATTGATACTCTTTAATACCAGATAATACGGACTACATGCCAG